TTGAGCGTGCGGGCGTCACCTTCATCAGACACAAATGTGATGGCCAGGCCTTTCGTTCCAAACCTGCCTGCTCGAGCAACCTACACCAGGACACCAGAGCAGCGGACACATTACTCAGTCAGGATCAGACTACAGGTGCTTGGTCACAGTAGGACAAACTAATCACAGGATAAGTATGAGACGATACAGTATGTCTTTGATAGAAGCCCTCTCCGTGTTCTCATCATTCTGGTATAATGTTAGTGAATAAATGCTGTCCCAGAGTATTTGATCTGCCTTTTCTACCCGTCTTTGTCCTATGAAGTCTTCCTTCCAGCCTGGGTGCAGGACTGAGACCCTCCTCTTGGAATAAGCTGCTACCTGCTCAGCTGATTATAACATTAATAAACACCTCACACCTGTGTCTATCTAATAAAGAGCTCAGATTCCTCAGTATCTCCTTAAATTTCTACATCATCAAGTCACAAATAGGACCTTGTGCAGCGTTCACATATATTTCTATCACTCTGTTAGCCTGTCAGGTGAACAGCACATGGCTCACCCTGTGAAGGTAAGTGTCAGAGTCTTCTGGCATGTCATAGTTGAAGGCAATATTGACTCTCTCGATGTCCATCCCTCGTCCAAACAGGTTGGTGGCCACCAGGATCCGCCTCTGGAAGTCCTTGAACTGCTGGTAGCGAGACAAACTACAGAGGACAATAAGTGAAGCTGTGTGTCACATATCCTCACATTGAAAGGTTCATCATGTGTGCATTGGGCTGCTGATCAACATCCCCACAGTACTGTGCAAATGTCCCCACTCATGTCTTTACATTTCTTTCTTCCAATGACACAGAGCTCCTTGGAAGTTTTGAAGTGGTCTTGAGTGACAGCTCTCCAGCTTCCTGAAAGACTTTCAAAGTGTTTCTTGGACATCAGCTTTTTTTGAGTGTATTTATGGGAGTTTTGGTCACCGACATCAGTCAGACGCTGATGCTGGATGAGAAGGACTGGCTCGTAGTCTCCACTTTAATTTATCCCATCGGTGTTTGTGACAGGGTTTCTGGCCCAGCTGCAGGGGAGGGGTGGAGCAGTGCTCAGAGGAGGCTGAAGGCCACAGCTGTTCCTCATTGTTCCACCTTGTCTTTCCCTATTTAAGTAGCACCATGAGTGTAGAGAGACGCAGAGAGAGGAGGAGCTGAGTGTGCAGTCATGTGTTCAGGCAGAGCGAAGAACTCAGTCACGTTCGTCCACATCAAAGCTGCTTATTTATGTGGAGCTCGCTTTGTGGACTTGTTGATTATCTGACAGCAGGACCACAACATGTGCGTCTACAACATTGTGTCTGACAAGGTGATCGGCAACACGGGCACCACAAGGGACCGTCCTCTCCCCTTTCCTCTTCACCATCTACACCACAGACCTTTTGCTTTTAGACGATCCTGCAGTGGTTGGATGCATCAGTGAGGGTGATGAGTATTGGGCCGTGGTCGAGCAGAATCATCTGCAACTCAGCGTGGCAAAGACCAACGGATTTAGGAGGACCGGGAAACCTGTGACCCCTGTTTCAATCCAGGGGTCGATGTGCAGGACTATAAATGCCTCAGAGTGCACCTGATAATAAACTGTAGTGGGTTAGAAACACCACTGCACTCTACAGGAAGGGCCAGAGTCGTGTCTGAGGTCCTTCAACATCTGTCGGACAACACACAGGTGTTTGAGTCTGCTGTGGGTCTGCGAAGGTTCTCAGTCATCCAGGTCATCGTAGTCAAAGGAGCTTGCAAAGAAAAGCGTCTGGACTTCTTTAAGTTGCTTGAAGACGTTTCACCTTC